CTTTGATTGTGGGGATTTTTTTAAATTTGAAAATAGGCCCAGAAAACAAACAACAATAAAAAATCCTACAATAGTGCGCTGAAAAACGTGACAGAGCCACAAACAAAACAGAACAAGCACAGCCAATCAGAGACCAGACAACCGCATTTACTTAGTGAGTTAGAGGCAGAACAAGGTGAGAGAGGAGAAGCTTAAGGAAGCGTGGGGAAGGTAAAGCATGTTCTGTAGCAGGGGGAGCAGGTTCTTTGGGCGTGTACTTCCTGTCTGAGCATCAGTGACGTCACCCACTGGTTTTAAGTCTATAAACTTTAAATCCTGTATTTTGGCCTAATGGTAGATCAGAAGTGATCTATATTGTAATAACACCCAAGCACAGATTTGTATTTGTTGGTAACTTGGATGTCTTCAAATGATTTTAGAGGGAACCACCAACTAAGTGTGTTTAGGGGTTCAAAATCTGATTTCTCACCCCTTCTGGTGGGAACGTTTTTGTTCGTGGCCCCCCTGACTGGGACCTGTGGGCCAGACAGTACTTACATTCCCTCCACCAGGAACATGCTTCATATTGTCCTTGGAGCCCAAGCGTGAGGTGACATGGCTGAAGTCCAGCTTTTTGGAGACTATCTGAACCTACATGGACACAGCACAGTGGCGAGAAGAGAGAAGGCAGGGGAGGGTCGAGGAGGGGGAGGGGACCACAAGAGTTAAAAAGGAAAGGAGGAACAGAAGGTGAGGGAGACAGGAGGACAGTAGAAGTTGGTACCACAGCCGAGGTTAGAAAGGACAAGACAGCAGGAAAAAGCAAGGTTCACCACCTTAATGTCTAAAGATGCTGCTTTGGACGCTATTTCTCATTAGAAAGTTGTTGTTTTATTCCTGTATATAGTGCAAGTACAGAAACATTGGGAAGGGTATCCACGGTTCATGATAATGTCAACAGCTTGGACAGTAATGCATATTTATTTATTTTTTAATATTTTTTCAATTCAGTTTTATTAGCAGCAACAATCAGGGAACCTCTTTTCTATAGCAACATAATAAAGCTGAAGATGCAGTAGGAACTATGACTATATAAGTTTGTACACTAGTATAAAAAAGGGAAAAAGGCCCCACATAGCTGCGCGAACACATATCCTCAGACGCCTGCGCTGAGTTTGCAGGGACAGTTGAATTTTTACGACCACATATAGAATGTCTCACTGCTCGGTAGGAGAAAGACTTTTCATACTGAACTGTTTTAAATGTGACTCTAAGATAACAAGACTTCTTAGGATGACAGGGAAAATCTGCTCTTTGGGCCTCACTGATGGGTACATAGGGGAGCCTTCAGATCTGCTTGGGTTTTGAGGGAACCAATGTTAACACTTTATGACAAAAAACTTCACTGGGAGAGATTGGGTTGCAAAGAAGAATACTTTAAGATGTGTCCGAGTTTCTAGCTGCTGAATTAGGGTGCTGCCATTGCAGAGCATTTGGCTGTGATAGCATCTGAATCTCCAGCTAGATGGAGACTTTAAGACCATAGCAGTCACACCACAGAGGAAAGAGGAAACCTGTGTCCAAGAAAAACAGAAATACGGTGACAGCTACCATAAGTACCAAGTGGTACCACAGCAAAGCCACAAAGGTCCAGACTTTGTGTGAATCTGCTTCTGGTCCAAAGTACTGGGCCAACTTTAGGTTTGAGATGAATATGTGCTTTTTCAAACATGATGGGAAATATAATGCACAGTTTAGAACACTAAAACTTGCACCCTGAGGTGTAAACCACACACTAAGAACACATAATCTGATTTCTAAACAGCAGGTGGAGAAGCAAAGTGGAACAAACTCTAAGGAGGAGGCCACCATCGTTAATCATTAGCATGTTATAAAGAGATTACATATAAAAAGGTTACTCTGACAGGAGTACAACTTCACATGCGACCCAGGATGTTTATTTGAAGAACTGAAATACCACTATGGTCACCTTCAGATTGTCTAATTTCCTAGTAGAAAAGAAAAAAATAATAAACACAAACTCAAGTTGGGATTCTGATGTGCGCAAGGATGGACCTTCCAAAAGTATCCAATTGCTTTAAGGCATAAAAGTTTTTTTGGTATTTTTTGTGTTACATTAAAGCAGAGATGCACACAGTTTGGTGGAATATTGTCTGTACCTGCTCACTAATGCGTCTCTTAGCTCTGTGGTAACACACCATGAGTTTAGTTGAGTGCAAAATGGGACAACGCATCTGGCGTTCAACAGGTGGCGCCAAATACACAGCAGATAAACATAATGGGTAGGGAGATCATGGAACAGATGGAAAAATAACATTTTATTCTGGCTTTTAACAAAATTCACTAGTGAGTTTAGATTTTTTTCTTTCTGGAGAAAATAAAAATAAATATACATATAAATATATATATACATATTTATTGTCTCTTCAATTCTTCTCTTCTCAGTAAACTGGGAACAAACCACAGCAGTATCACCCTCACAGAAAGTAGACCGTTGTGGTTCAACCATCTCTGAAAAAATGCAGATGTGATTGTTTTTTTCCTTTTTTTTATGTTTTAAAAGTAAAACTGAGTGAAGAAACCAGCAGTGGAATTTAGACGGCATAAAGAACCTGTGCTTTGCTTGAAAACTAATTGAAGAAAATTCACTTCATACATTTATCTGTGCTTTATAAGATCTTCAAAGTAAAAAAAAGAAATGTCAACACATTTGTAATAACCCCACTTTCCTTGTCCTCTTGTCTCTGAGGATAAGATATAGATCATTGCCAAACGGAGCTGATATACAGGAAAACGGAATGAATGAATGAATGAATGAATGAATGAGTGAATGAATGAATGAATGAATGAATGAGTGAATGAGTGGGAGATGAGGAAGTGCGTTTGGAGGGGAACTCACTTTGCTCTGGCTGCTTTCTTTGGAGGGCACGCCCCTTTTCTGAGTAACAGAGGACACCTGAGGAGAGAAGCCCCGCCCCCCATGATCAATGAAAGAAACGTGACGACAAATGGAGAGAAGGAGGCGGCCAACGTGCACAGAGAAGTTTGTGGAAGTGAGTTATAATGGATCAAAAGAATACCGGAGAAAGTGTGAAAACATGGAAAGCGAAGGCAGACGTCCAAATAAAGAGGAAAAACCAGCAACCGGTCTGAATGAAATATGGAAGTGAAGAAGAACCGTGTCTATTTTGGTTTAACCCAAGTCTTTTAAAGAACGGAAACTTTGAGCTGTAACATCAACTAAAATGGGTGGATGATGCATTTTTTCGACAACCAAACAAGGTTTTGGCTTAAAAAAGGGCCGCAACAAGAACATTAAACATTATGTACCTATATGAGGCTCTGGGGCGGAGGATCATGTGTGCAACTGTTAAGGAGAGCATAATGGAGCACAAGATGTCTGTCAGATGAGCGTACCCCGGTCAGACCAGCATACCCATAGTCAAAACCAGTTTATCCCTTTAGTTTATCACTTTAGTTTATCACAGTTTTTC